CTGGAGGGGCACAGAAGGAGGTGACCCTGAGGAACGCCCTGCTGCTGGCCCAGGAAGCTGGGCTGAAGGTGCGTGGACACCCAGGTCAACACACATCAGCCTGGCGCACCCAGACCCTGTCCTTCCCTGCTAAGGAGCATGAGCCCGGGGTCGCCCCATGGGGCTGCTAATGCACCTCTCAGGCTTGGGGGGGCATCCCCTGGGGTGGCCTCTGAGGACATCCCTTCCCCATGTCCTGCCACGTGCAGGACCTGGGTGCTGAGTGGCCACATCTGTCCGGCAGGTCACAACCACCCATGGCGACGTGGCCCCCGAGTCCGATGGCAGTGCTGGCTTACTGCAGGTGGCCCTGCAGGGCACCCCACACCGGGCAACAGGGATGGTGCAGGGCAGCACCCCGGTGCTGCGGGAGCTCAATGGGGCCACCTTCAAGCAGCCGGCCCCGCTGGCCGGCCCTATCCTCATCTACAGAACCAAAGCCTCCGAGCCCAGCGCGCTGCCCACGCTCGCTGGTAAGCTCCCTGCGTCACCCCCGAGCAGGGGGGCAGCCTGGGGGGAACCCCACATCCACCCCTGAGCCAAGCCCCAGCTGCAGCAGGGAGGGGGGACAGGTGTCGCGTGAAGAGATGGGGATGGGGGGGCTTGGGCAGAAGTTGGGGGCTTGGAGCAAAGGACTTGGGGTGGGGGAAAGAAATGGCATCGTGGACCTTTTGTGGGGTGTTGGGGTGGGCAGAGCCCTGCTACCTGCCGGGTGCTGGGGCAGTCTGCAGCCCCTAACCCCTCTCCTCCTCTCCAGGACTGCTGGGGAAGGTGGGGGTCCACCTCCAGTCCTATCACAGCTCCGGCACGGTGGCGGGGGAGCAGTGGAGCATCGTGGGGCTCTCGGCCCCCCTGTCCAACCTTGGCGAGCTGAAGCCACGTGTCATGGAGGTCTTCCAGCTCCACCTGTAGCCCCTGACTGCCGGCAAGGACCCCCCCCGGCTGCAGCACCTGGACACCCCCACAGGCGGGGGAGCATCACACCTGGCCGCCCCCAGCCCCCGCGCTGGACTTGGGGTGGCCCCGTGCTCAATAAAGGGTCCAAGAAGAGGGAGCGTGTGATGCCTTTTCTGTGTGGTCCCTTGTACCTGACCGCAAAGTTCCTGCAGGCTCTGTCCCTCCTGCCCCCCGGCCCCACTGCTGTTTGCTCAAGGGTGCAAAGGTCTCCATGGCTGCTGTGGCCCTGTCAAGGTCCCATCCGGCCATGGTCCCGTGCCGGGGCATGGCCCAGAGAGCAGGCAGCACTCCAAGGGGGGCTGAGCCCTCCCGTGAGCCCCCACGTTGCCTGGCCCCTCTTCCCCCCTGGGTTTTCCCCTGGGGATGTTTCAATTTGCTGGCATCATGGGGAAAATGGCATCTTACCACCCCCAAACTGGAGACCGGGGAGCTGGGGTTTACTTGGCTCCCCCAAAATGTCAGGACACACTCCCATCCTGGGGAAATAGGGGGCACTGAGGCACGTGTCCAACGGGGCAGGCAGCTGCATTAGGTGCCCATGGGAAAAATCCTGTGAGGGACCGCAATCCAGCCCCATGGTGGTTGAGGGAAGAGCCCCGGCGCGGGCAGGGACCACTTGTGACCAGAAGCCAGAGCTGGGCTGCTGCCCCCTCTCATCCACGTGTTTATTCCCCTGTGCCACCCGGGTGTTTGCAGAAAACGCCGCTGTCTCCACCAGCTCCAGGGCCCGAGGCGCCGCCGGCTGCTTCCCGGCCATCCAAGGTGAGGTTTCCCATGGAGGCCAGCCCCAGATTTGGGGATGCTGGTGGGGAGGAGAGCATCCCCCTCCCTGGGGCTCACCACTACAGTCCCTGCTAGATGGGCTTCCTGGCGTATTCCCGGCGGTACTTGGCATCCACCCGCGTCAGGTACCAGGTGCCGGGGAAGAGATCTGCCTGGGAGCCGTGGGGAGCATGGTCGGCTGCGGGGAGAGGGTGGTGATGCTCACCGGGGCCGTGGGGCACCAGTGGGGAGGTGTCGCATCCCCCCGGCTCCACTCACCCAAGTGATGGGGCTCCTCCCGCCGCTTCATGATCTCAGCAAAGTCCTGTGGGGCCACACGCTTGCGGGCGTCAAGGCGACCCGGCAGGTCAGCCAGGCTGGAGACCAGCTTATCCAGGGGTGAACCTGGTGGCGGGGAACCCCCCGGGTGAGACATGGCCCGGCAGCCCCACGTCCCCCTCCCCTCCCGGCCTCCCTCTCCCATTGGGGCTCACCCGGGGCCGCATCCTGCGAGACGCGGAGGGAGAACATGCTGGCGGCCAGCCCCGAGCCATAGGAGAAGGCGCCGATCCGGGAGCCGGCCAGGTCCTGCGCCGAGGATCTGCAGTGAGGTATTGGCAGGGTTAGAGGGGATTGGAGGCTAGTGGGGGGATGCAGGGCTGTGGGGGTGGCGTAAGGGGCTGCCTTCTGCCCTCTTCACAGACAGGGGGGTCCTGGGACTTGGGGCCGGATTAAATGGCAACTTGTGGCCTCATTGCCAAGGGCAGGTGGCCCCAGAGCAAGGGGATGCCTGCGGTGGGGGCTCGGGGCTGGGGAGCACCAGGGCTGCCCAAGGAGGGGCAGTGGGATGAGGCTTTTGTCCCCTGCCCAGTGCCTGGCCATTCCCACGGCTCCTTTGCCACCCCCAGCAGCAGGGAACAGCCATTCTCCCAGGCATGACAAGGGGGTTTTCATTCTCCCGGCACTGACAGAAGGGCTTTATGCGCCGGCCCAGCTCCAGCAAACTGGGATGAAAAGGCTGGCTGGGAGACAGCGTGGGGGGGGAGGTGAACATGCCAGGGGTTATGTGCAATGAAAGCATTGGGTCTCTGCTGCAGAGGAGGGGGATGAGTGCTGGCGCCTGCCCCCCGATCCAGTTTGGTCAGGGATCTCCAAAACAAACTCCCCCCCACCCTGAGCCAGCTTTTGGGGGGACTTACTGCGCCAGGAGGGAGGCCAGGCAGCCGTACATGGATGGCGTGTACATGTTGCCATTGCGAGAGGAGAGGAGCAGGGAGGGCTTGGTCTTCTGGTTGAAGATCTCCTGGCTGGCTGCCTGGAACGCCTTCTCCACCTCCTTGCTGGTGTAGGTGTCCTCCAGCTTCATGCCACTGCCCAGAGAGAGGCTGGCTCGAACTCCACCCAGGCACATCCCCGGCTGGGCTGGGGGACGGGGGACACGGTGCGCAGACCCACCAGAAGGGCTGCAGCCCCTTGTAGAGACCGGCGGCCGTGTCAGGGTTGGGGGTGGCCAGGAAGTCGTTCAGCAGCAGCCGCCCCACCGACTTCTGCACCAGCTTGCAGAAGGGCGTGTGGAAGATGATGAACTTGAAGTCGTCGAGGGTGAAGGGCCGCTGGATGCCAGCTGGAAGGCAATATGGGGGCTGTCAGCATCTGGCAGGATGGCGCGGGCACCCCCAGGGTGCCACCACTTACCCTGCTGCCACTGGCTCTCCGCCTTCCGGCGGTACACAGCATAGCAGCGGTCCAGTGCCCGCAGGTAGCACTGGATGGAGAGCTGCCCGTCCACCACCGGGTACTCGGAGGCCAGGTCGGGCTTGTAGAAGTCATAGGCATGTTCCATGTGGGTTCCCCGCAGCCCTGGGGGCACAGGGAGAGCCGGCTGTCAGAGGGGGCCAGGGGGGCCCCGCCAGATGGCAAGCCCCCACACGTGCTGCCTGCCATGCCAGCCCCGGCATTCACCGGCCTCCCTGGTGCCCGAGGTGCCCACAGGGATGTGGCCGGCTGGGATCCTGGGGTACCCAGCACTGGGCAGCCACTGGGGCCAGCAGAACCAGTGCTGCCAGAGTTGAGCAGCTCCATCCGGGGCTGGGACATGGATGTATGGCCCCCAGAGATGGCACCCATCAGCTTGTCACCCCCAGGGTCTCATGGCACTGACCTCTCTCCAGCACCAGTGGGGCATTGGGTCCCACCAGCATGGCGATGGCACCGGCACCTCCTGTGGGCCGTGCGTTCCCCGTGGCATAGACGGCAATGTCCCCGCACACCACCACGGCATAGCGACCTGGGGGAGGACAGGGGGGCCGGTGGGCCCTTCAGCAGGTGGGAGTCTCCATCCTGCAGCCCTCACACATCCCCATCCCCGTGCTGGGTGTGATGTGATGGCCAAGGCAAGTGAGAAATGGGGGTGATGGAGAGCTTGGAGGGGCAGCAGCTCCCTCTGAGGCTTGCCGGAGCATCTTTGGGTTTCAGGCCACCTCCTGCTTCCTTCCCCCATCCCCCAGCACCCAACCCATGTCCAGCCCCTCCATTCCCACGGCACGGTCCCTGCCCGCACCCACCATCCCAGGCGCTGGACTCCACCCAGGCAGCCGCATTGAAGAGCGAGGCCGTGCCCCCGTAGCAGGCATTGGTGGTGTCGATGCCCTCCACGTCAGTGTTGCCCGAGTCGTGGAAGAGCTGCATGAGGACGGTCTTGACGGCCTTGGACTTGTCGATGACGGTCTCGGTGCCCACCTCCAGGCGGCCGATGGCGTCCCAGGAGAGGCGCCCGCGCTCCACCAGCCGCTGCACCACCGTCAGGCACAGGGAGTTGATATCCTCATGGGCGGCGCAGAAGCCCATCTGCTGCTGGCCCAAGCCCCGCGTGTACTTGCCGGCCTCCACGCCGTCGTATCGCTCCAGCTCCTCCTGCTCCACGTACTGAGCAGGGAAGTACACCTCCAGCGCCAGGATGCCCACGTCCTTGGGCCAGGTGCCCGTCCCAGCAGCGCTGGAGAGGCTGCGGGGCAGAGGGAGCAGCGACGGTCCCGCGGCGGCCCTGAGACTCAGGGACAGGCGGTGGCCCCAGGGAGATGCCACCAGCAAGCACCCCAGGCCGTGAGCACCCCAAATCCCTGCTGGTTCCCTGTGCCTGGTAGCGCTGTGGGGGAGGAGGGAGAGCATCCCCTTCCCCAGTAAGGATTAAGAGCACTGCCAGCTCCCCGAACTCTGCCCTGGTTATACCTCCACCCTACCCGATCCGCGTAGGTGCTCACCATGCCCTCTGCACAGCCATGGGGTGCTGGGCCCCCCAGGGTGCCCGTTCTGGCCCCGGTGGTGCCCACCTCACCCCCCAGCAGCGCGCGGCACGGCCAACCAAGCGCAGCATCTTCGCCTCAGCCGCTGCACGAACAGAGGGACGGACGGCGAGAGGGACAGACGGACAGCAGGATGGGCCGCACATGGTGCTTTTATAAACTGCGCAGGTGGCACGGCACAGCCCTCCCAGCCCTTATCAGCACGCCGGACCCCAGAGCTCAAAGGTCACTGAGCGCCAGCCAACACGACAGGGACAGCGGAGCAAGCACTGACTTTGGAGGGGGGAACTTGCAAGATGTCTCTGTCTTGTGCCCCAAAGCCTGGGGACGCACTCAGCTGGAGCCGGGGCCGAGCAGCGGAACAGGCTCTCCTGCAGCCCCAGCTCCCTGTGCCGTGGGGTGGTGGCAGCTCTAGTGCCCACGGCTTGCCGGCATGGCTGTGGTCACCGTGCAGTGTGTGAGGTGCTGTGTGGCCTCCCTGACTGCCCCCGCGGTCCTGGGAGGGAGCAAGAGGGCGGCCGGGAGTTTGGTGCCAGCACCATCCGTGCCGCCCAGGACGTGGTCCACCTCCGTCACATGCTGCGGCTGCGGGGGGGGGGGGAGCTGGGTAGGGGCAGAGCCATCTTCAAAACAGCAGAGCAAACAGCCACGTGATGCCTGTGGCAACACTGTGGTGACACAAGAAGGGACCTTTAGTCCCGGTGCTGCTGTCAACACGGCCCCAGGGCAGCATCGCAGCCCCCAGAACCCCTGTGGAGCCATTTGCACCTGGGGGGGCACTGATCCCCACACCTGCACATCCATGACAGCTCCATCCCCACCCACATCTGTGCCCCAGATCTCCTCCATGCCTGCACCCTGGGGACACTCCTGTCCCCCCACCCCTCCCGTTTAGCACCAGAGGGCTGGGGATGAGAAAACACGAGCACCCAGCCGGGAGAGCTGCTGGCCCCGTGGCTCCCGGGGACTCACGCCCAAATGGCTCCGCTGGCAGCATCCCCAAATGGCAGCACCAAAGCCCCCAGCAGCCAGGAAGCTCAGGGAGCCGAGGGAGCGCCTGCTGCTCCCTCGCCCAGATGCCCGCAGGTGGGAGGCACCAGGGCTTTGCACCAGCACCACACTCACACAGCACCTGCATGCTTGGTTTTTTATAAATGTATTTTTAGGAGTTGGGGAGAGAGGAGCAGAGGTGGCAAGGAAGGAGCATCACCAGTGTGGGGTCCTCCATGGGGTCCCCTGAGGGCCCGGGGGCCGTGCTCAGTGTGAGGGGATGAACTTGCAGATGTAGTGATGCTGCTGGGTGCAGTCGGCGCTGGACCACAGGGTGAAGCCTGCCAGAGAGATGGGCTGGGGGTCAGCAGGGGCCACAGTGAGGACAGAGGCACCAGCTCTGCTCGCCGCAGTCCCCCAGGGGGGACTGGCCCCGGAGGAGGAGGTGTTGGGGGGGGGATGCCATCCGAGACCAAGTGCTGGAAGCGGACGCGGGGTCTGGGCACTCACTGTTGAGGTGGGTCAGCATGCCGCAGGTCCCCCCATGGGCACTGTTCCTGGCCAGCCCACTGGTGACATTGTACTTGTCCCCACTCGTCCACTGCCAGGCCCGGTTCTGTGCAGGGAGAAGGGGTCAGAGGCATGGCCCTGCTGCCCCCTGTCCCCCTGCCACCCCCCACCGCCTCACCTCGTGCCCGTAGCGGAGACCGAGCCAGACGGGCTGCACACGCTGGTAGTAGGAGATGACCATCTGCAGGGTGGTCGCCTCCCGGGGCTCCTCCACCCAGGCCAGGTGGGCGCTGGGGTGGCTGTCCTGGCACTGCCTCTGTGGGGAGAGCCATCAGTGCCAGGGCACCCCCGGGAGATGGGGGTTCCCTGACCATGTGCGTACCCCGGCAGGCTTACCTCAGCCTCATCCCAGGTCCGGAGCTGACGGAAGTACTTGAAGCAGCTGAGCTTGTAGTAGGACCAGCCCTTGGGGCAGTAGTTTATGTACTGGGCGCCTGTGGAGACAGAGCCGTGGGGAGGGATGGGGAACAGCCGGAATTGCCAGCTGGAGAGGAGAATGGCTCCCTCCCAGCCCTGCTGCAAAAGTGGCTGCCCCCCGAGTCATGGGACTCACCGGCTGGCTGCAGGAGCCCCACGCAGCCCAGCAGCAGGACGGCGAGTCTGGTTGCTGCCACCATCCTCCTTGCTCCCAGACGTGTCTCCTGCAAGAGCTCGGGGGCTCACACCAGGTCCCTAGGGGACAGGGGATGCCGCCTGCCCCCAGAGGGTGCAAACCCGCCCTGCTATGGACTGAATCCGGCCCCTTTCAGCCAGCTGGAGGAGATGGCAGCCCTGGGGTCTATGCCTCACTCTTCCCTCCCTGGCACAGGTCACTTCCCCGCGCCTGCACCCCATCCCCCGGGCATGGCTCGGGGTCCTCAGCCCACACTGGCAGTGGGGTGTCCTGGCCCCACCAGTCCCAGCCTCGGCGGGAGGCATCTGGGTGAGCCAAGCTGCTCTGTGGGAACATGGGGAAAGCGCTGCCACGGGCACAGGTGGGGGGACCCCAGCCCTGCCCTGGCATCAGGCAGCAGCAGCAATGGCATAGGCATAGCCAGGGCGGGTAGGGCTGCAAGGACCAACAAGCCCCCCCCCCCCCCCCCAAGCTCGTAGCGCTGCCAGACCCAGGCTGGGGAGGCAAATTGGCCACATCAGCGCAGTTCCCCTTTATCTGGGCTAATCCCCAGGCACCAGGGCTGATTTGCAGACTCAGCTCGTCTTCCCCTCAAAGAAGCAGCGACAAAAATCAACACGGGGCTGAAAATTGCATCGTTGCAGCCTACCCCAGCCAGCAAGGGCAGCTCTCAGCTCCCCTGGGAGCTGCCGGGGCTGGGACCGGCTCCTGCTCGCCCACAAGCCACCTCGAGGCATCCCAAGGCTGCAGCCACCTCGCGAGGGTCCCCTTCCTCACCTGCTGTCCAGAGATCAGGAGGAATAATGGCTTCTAGTGGGTCACCAGCAGGGGAGAGGAGCTGCCCTTTATAGCCTGGTGCTCACCAGCATCACTGTTTGCCCAGCTCAGGTGATTCCCACTGTAAAAATCTTATTGATAACTCCCCTCCATCCCTCCCGCTTTGCTGGAAAGCCGCCCAGATCTCCACTCTGTTTACATTTGTTTCTCCAGAAAAGACAGGAAGAACCTCTCCTAGTTGGTCAATAAACCCACTGCCATTAGTGTTAGTTGCTAATGCAAACACAAGAGAGAACCTTGCAGCAGAGAGCAGCCTGGTACCAGGCAGGCATGCGCACTGGACCGGGGGCTGGTGGGGATGAGCCCCAGGGGAGGCTGTCCTGATCCCATCCAGAGCATCCCTGCAGTCACCAGCCGGGCCATGGGTACCACCCACTGGCATCCATCACCTGCGTCACTGGCCGGGCCCCACGCCCTGCCCGGCTCCGCCATGCGTCACCCACACACCACCCTTGTTTGAATTGCCTGGGGACATTTGTCAGCAGGATGCGGGGATGTGGGAACACCCTGTGGCCAGGGGCTGGCAGGTGCCATCAGAGAGAAGTGGGGGTGCCGGGCCCCCACGCCTGGCAGCGACGCAGGGCTTTGTCAGTTCACATCCCTCCGGGAGGAAGGGGCAGGTCCTGCAGCAGCAGCCCCCCACTGCCCCTGCCCCATGTGGGGAACCCACAGCCCTGGCCCTGGGGAGGCTGCTGCTGGCATGAAGCTGCAGAGGGGGGCTGCCCCTGGCCCCAGCAGCCAGAGCCCTTGGGCATGGTCGGGCACAGCCTTCTCCGTCACAATCCTCGCCCTTGCACCGGTGGGAGGCAGCTGAAGCTCATCTACTCTACTGCTCCGACCACGCTGCTCTGGAGCATCGCTTTGTTGGCTCCTAATATAGCAAAGCAGCTTTGAAAGCTCTTCCCGCTGCCTGTCCCATGGCCTCCTGCAAAGCTGCCAGCTCCTGCCCAGCACACTGCTGCTGCCAGCTACGGCCAATGCCCGGCTCTCCATCCCCGAGTCCTCTCGAAGACCCTTGGAGGAGGCCACTGGGAGCTACCCAGGAGGCAGCTACCCGCAGAGGATCCAGCCCCAGAGCCAAGCCCCTCATCTCCCAACACGGAGGGCTTGTAGCTGGCTGAAGCTGTTACTTCTAGCTGTCAGGCTCAAGCCATGTCCTCCAGCCCCCAGGGATCTCCCACGGCTCCTTTGTGGCAGCATTTGCCAAAACGCGCAGAGTGCTGCTACGCCCACAGGGAGCAGCTCCCCACCAGCGTGCAGAGGCAGGTCTGGCTTTTGCCCCCGGGGAGTGAGGAGGATCAGGCCCGTCTCCTTCGCGCACACAGCTGGGATACAGCCGCTGCTGCTCCCCGAGACCTCTCAAGGCTCAGCCAGCTTGCTAAGCACCCTTCAGGATCAAAGGGCTAAAGACGCCTTGTGTCCAAACAAACCTGCTGCCTGCTATAATTTCTCCTGAAAGAAACAACCTTACAGAGGACATCAGCCGCTCTGACTAATGGGCAAACTCTTCAAACACAGCAACACCCCCTGCAGAAGACAGGACTCCACCCTTGTTTTATGAAAAACCATGAAAATGTTCCCCAAAGGAGCCTGAGGCTGCTCCATTACTACACTGTTAGATAAGGCATACCCCAGCTCCCTGCCTGGCTGGTTCAATTAGGCTTATTTGGATGCAACACAACAAGTTTTCACAAGCCTCTCATCATCCCAGGTAGGGGAAGATGCATGCGCCGTCCCCGAGGAGACAGTTTCAAGTCTCAGCCTGAGCACCAGCAAACTTGACGCAGCTGTGCCAGAGACACAGCAGAGCTCGCTAAACTTTGGCACAGATGTACAACCTGTGGGAGAACATGGATGAAAGCCTCCCGGAGGTTAGGACTTGCCAAGCTGGCTCTACTAGAAGATAAAGGAGCTGCGCTGTTTGAATATTAAACCCTTAAAATGCCCCCAGCAGCTTTATCCCTGCGAGGCACCATAATTCAGCTACCGGCACCATCCGAGTCTGCAGTGAGAGCTGGAAACCGGCCAGGTGAGTGCTGGCCGAGCCCAAGGCTTCGGTGGCACTTCCTTGCTCAAAATACAGGAACACAGCTATTGTCAATTTGTTCTAATTGCTCAAGTCAAACTTTTCAAGTCTGAAAACAGCACGGAGGAGCCGTGATTCCCTGTTTCAGAGGCTGGAGAATCGCACATCTTCATGCATCAGCTGCCAAGCCAAAGCCAGGGAGGCAGCCTCAGCTCCAGGGACCAGGGTCCTCCTCCTGGCTGCAGGGACAGAAACAGCCCAGGGAAGCAAGCAGGACCTGAAAGGACACGTGAATCCATGGCTCCACTAACCGCCGCCTGACCCACGCTTGCCCACAACCTTTCTAAAAGCCACACAAAAGCCCCAGCCCCTCTCCAGCTCCCAGGCAAGCAAGAGCTTTTATTCAAAGCACCTCAAAAAGGCCCCATCCCAGTCCTTCCCGGTCCTTCCCAGTATGCCCAGCTGCTTGGCTGCTGGTTACTGCCCCCTTCTCAGCTAACCAGGAGACCAGAATCCTCCTGCTACACACCCGAGCTAGGCTGCTTTCAGCTCCCAGGCACAGCTCCCTTGGATGGAGCTAAGCAGTGGGGTTCGCGCGCTGCTGAGCCACGGCACAGGGCACCCTTGATCCCCAAAAGCTCTCTCCTGACGCGGACTGCAGAGGTTCTAATGAGCCCTCCCTTGCTAGGGGTCTGAACAGCTATCGAACACCAATGATTTGTTTATAATCCTGTCTTTACAATCCGGTGGCTGTGCCGTGATAGCCAGGAAGACAAACGAAAACAGCAGCACACAGATGCCGGCACATACTCTTTATTCTGGGGATAAAAATTGCTTATACATTTTGCAGCAACTATTTTCATAAAAGACTTTTATAAAAAATGTAAAAATAAGCAAATATTTTCCATTATTAATATAGGAAAATGCTGCTGTGTGAATGGTTACTCTACAACTTATGAGATAAAATACCACCTTAAGGAGATATCTTTACAAGTAGTTAAAAAAAGAAGGCAGAGGGCCATCGTATTAACATGCCAGGCACGAAACTGGCTTCATTCCACAGAAAGCACTCATCTTGTAAAAGGTAGCCACATATATAAAAAGGCACTTGGTTATTTGGGGCTAATGAGGAAAAGCCCTTTGTTTCTTTAGCATCGATGTAGCAACACTTCATTATTTGCAGTGAAACATGTACCTGGACAGACCTCCAGGAGCTTGTGGGCTCCTGCCCAGAGATCTGAGTCGGTTGCAGCTAAACTTCACAGGACACACTGCGGCGAGCGTGCCGGGGAACGCTGTGTGCGTCATAAAAAGCAGTAACTTCAGAATTAAAAACTTCAGCCCAAAATGACGGCCCCGGGAACCAGCTCCTCCTGAGGCCCTGCCTTCATGTACCATTGAGTTGAATCGAAAGAAAAAGCTTTTACTCTTGATTAGAATGGAAAGAAACATCGGAGAAAATACTGTACATGGTAGGATGCTGAATGGCCACTGCTCGGAGGTGAGCGGCCTTCTCTGTCCTTTGGCAGCAGCCAACAGCCCCGATCTCTTTGGAACGCGTGTCTGCAGGGTTCCCCCGAAGAGGTAGGAGCAAACCATCCCTAGAAACGTTCACTTTGGCTGCTGACTGGTTCAGAGCCCTTCAGGGAAGCGTCACTCTTGCGGACAAAGCAGAAAGAGCAGCTGTTTGTCTAAGGTCAGCGACAGCTGGCTTCCGTAACTCCAAAAATATCGGGGGAGCTGCAGTACAAATGGCACTACCGTCCCACAGAGCGTGTGGAGCACCTCAGTTGGGAAATCTCGATACAGGCTGAAGCTGAGAGCAGAGGACAGCCCCAAACCTGTTAACCAAACTGCATTAGACAACGGTTTCTGAGCTATTTGGTCTGCTGCTTAAGCCCAGCTCCTGGCTTCAGGCACGCTGCTGCTGCTGGAAGCCTGCTCGGGAGTCAGTGCTGCAGCTTCCTTGTTGGGAGGGGAAGGCAAGGCAGCCCTGCCCCAGGACTGGAGCGAAAGGGGCACTTTCAAAGGGCCGGATGCCGCTCCTAATGCAGAAGGACACACACTGCAAACATGTAATGACATCCTTGACACTTCTTGATAATACCACAAAGAGGCAGCATATGGTATCTGGAGGACAG